TATTGCTTGCACAAACATAATGTTTAGAGGAAACACTGTGCAGGCCATTTCTGTGAACAGTTTTTGTACAACCATGAATAATGTACTGATGCATTCTCTCTTTCTCCTTATATCCCTTTCATCTGTGTGTCTGTGTGTGTGTCTGTTCACCTGTCGATCTGATTGTGGTGCTGCCTCTTTTTCATACCATGTGTATGCATGCTTCATATTGATTGTGTGCTGTTGTGTTGGGTGCATGTGCATATGGACACATACACCTATCCATACCTGTGACCGGTATGACATGTCAGGCACGGAGTTCCTACCTGGACACAGAGGTGCTTTGGGTTATCGCTTTCACACCTGTTCTCTCTCTGAGAAGGGCTTCTACGAGTAGACTACACAACTTCCACGATGTCTACGAGACCAACCCCCCACCTGCGCGCCCAAGGAGTTAGCTGCTAAGCTTCGGGGGGGCCGCTATTGCCTCAGCTTTCGCTTCTGAGCCCTGAGCCCAAAATGCATACTTTTGACCCCTAAATCGTCTGTCCAAACTGGACCCACTCAGCCGGATGAGGAAAGGAGAGAGATTCAGGGGGTGACAGAGGAGAGACCAACGGCTCAGCTGCTGCTTTGGAGGAGCAGCCCCTTGCTGATGGACTGCCTGACTGATGTGACTGATGGCCACATCAGCTAAAAAACAGGAGAGACTGGAGAAGAGGACAGGACAATATAATGCTTCATTTAGTCAATGGCCAGCTTGTTCCATTGCAATGCTTGGAGATATAAGATATCCGTCTCCAGCCCCGACTCATGCAATACTCCTCTACTAGAGTGTCAATCTATATAGTATAGATTGGTTTTGTAGACACGTAAGTAAACATACACAGACACACACGTACAGTATCTATATCTACACTTAAAGGTTGGTGGCTCAGATTGTCTTTTTATAATCGTAACGGCAACTTACTGCTATAACAGCTCAAGTTGTATAACGTAAACTTGAGCTGAAACTGGTAGCCATGACAGAGTAC